TATTAGAAGCCCCCTCTTATTAGAAGCCCCCCCTTTGAGAGGTCTCTCCAGCAGAATTTTCTGTTTTCCCCAGCGGAACACGATCAAAGTTCTGAGGACCAAATACAAGCCCCCGGGGGCTTCTATTATGGGGGTGGGGGGGTTTAGTTATTTGCAACTTTAAAAAATGTGTCTTTCACTAACTTGAAGAAAAGAGAAAACGCCGTCAGAGAATTGAATGGCCGCGTCCCTTTTTGTCCTTACTTTTTCTCACGAACATCCAACAGAGTAGTCCGTTCCGAGCTTCCGCTTTATTGAAAAAGTACGGATGTTCGGAATGCAAAAAGATCGGATGTTTGGAATGAAAGTCGTACGGAACGGCATGAGCCAAGGTTTTTAGTGTTTTTGTATACAAAAATGTCTGGATGTTCGTAACAATCCCTCACGTTTTGTTGCGAACATTCAATCTTTTTCTGTTACGAACACCCCTCACTTCTTTTTACAAACATCCGATCTTTTTCTGTTACGAACATCCGGAAAAACGATTTTATGCTATACAGACTCGATTCCGAGCATCCCGTCACTTGGTCGGATGTCGGGAAGACCAAGGACGAAAACGGACAGCTCTGAATCGAACTTTGTATCTACTAGAGTATAATGACATAAAATTGACCGTAAAACGACCAATTTATCGAATAATCGATTTATCGTAATGTTTCAGTCATCAGTTGTCGATTTTTGTGTCGTATACTCATTAACCGTCTATTAATAATTCGTTTTCGTTGATTCAGGCTATATTCGGATAATCAATATGAAACGTGAAGAAACAAATCTCATATGTCAAAAAAAAACGAATAGTAAATGAATGTAATTTCAGATAAACAAAATGAATTTTAGAAAAAGTGATGAGAGTTTTTATCTAACTAAAAAGAACCAAAACTTTATGGAATAGAATCATTGCGAATCTTATTATACATCAGAAAATATTTTAATGAATGCACTTACATTAAATTATCTTGTTTAGTTATATTGAAAAATAATGATACAAAATTAATTATGGTTTTAATCATTCGTTTAAAAATGAATTGAAAAACAAAGAAAACGAGGAAATGCAAATGTTTGCATTAGAAATTTTAGTTCTATCATACAGTTATTTAGAAGAGAACACATTCTGGCCAATGTGTTCTTTTCAGAACGGTTACATAAACTAAAATCAATATTGCACAACATTTGCATAACCGAATTGTTTAAAGAAAACTATAAAAATTAAAAGAAATATCGTACACTTCTCATTTAACGTATGCAATTATTATTAACAAGTGTTTATTTATTGGATTCGTTTGCCAATTTCCATAGTGATTAGACCATTTAGAAGATATTCGCATAGATATGTCATTTCAATCTTATTATCATCATCTGTAATGGAATTTAAACACATGTTAATCAATTCTAAATACATTGTTTTCATTGAATTATTATAAACTATCGTTGTACATTCTTCTTCATCAGCAGTGCACATCCATTGCAAATGCCATAAATGTGCATTGTCATTGTTTGTCATTATGTTCGACGATGTTAACAACATTTCATTTCTCAAGCTATACGAGATTAGATATCTTATTATCAATTTATTCCATATCATTTCATTAATGAATGATTTTGTACCATCTTCATTACGTTTAACACCAAATACATTCTGTGCATGTAACATGTTATGTACAATTTGAATGAAAATGATATGATCTTGTGGAACTATTATGTGTGCCTTTGTGCCCATTATGTAATAATGTTTTAGTTGAACAATGGCATCATTGGTCAGCGTAAAGAATCGTATCCGTACTTTATATTTGATTTTAACATCAATACTAAATCTTATTGTGGACATTGAATTTTTGATTTGTAATAACAATGGCGTAAAAATCCATGGAAAACTTATTATCATTTGTGATTTATCTTTAACAGATCGACCTGCTTCTTTATAACAAACGTAGTAGCAGGCTGATGCTTTCGCCATTCGACAATTGTCATTATTATCATCACAATTAGAGTTTAATCCTTTGTTGAATTCCATTCTAATATGTTCAAATAATTTAGTAACAAGATTTTGGACTGTTGCTTGTGTATTTGAACGATCGTTGTTATTTATACTTATTGAATCACAACAACAGAATAGATCAGTCTCGTTATTAAAATTAAACGCGTGAATTATTTCATTCAGTTCCAGTTTATATGTGCTGAACAGTATCGCTGCCTCGACAATATAAGACATATAATCATTATGTAAAAACGATGGATCCAACCGAATGTTTTTGCAATTATCTGTTTCATTATTGATAATAGGTAGTAAACTCTGTATGGATCGATATAATTTACCTAAATGAAGAAGCCGATCAAGAATTCATTAGATGGTAAGCAAGTTCTATAATTTTTAAAACTATTTACATACCTAAAACATGTTCTGATGTATAAGATTCATAATTTTTATATTCCATAAAGTCAGGTCTTTTATTGCCAAGTTGACTTTGTAATTCGTTAATTTCATATTCTGTGTAAGGATGATATCCGGTCTTAGATGCGTCCAATTCTTTACTAATTGCTATTGCAATTTCTTTTGATTTTTCATGATTTACGCCGAATCAGTCAACATAGAGCAGATGAAGATTTGACACACAGTGGACAATCAGGCGGACATTTGGGGAAAAATCGAAAGCGAGATTTTTCAAGATTTAAATAGTGTCATATATACACTATTAAACGGCCGATTTAACGGCGAAAAAATTTTGATCCAAATG